TTTTGCAGCTATTGAAGACAGCACTCCATGGTCGCACATACGAACGAACACTACAACTGCATCTGAAGTGGCAGTTAATGGAGACGGACCAATTGTTGCAACTACTGAGTCCCGATATACAAGAGGCACAACAACGCACAACCGCACGTCTTCAGCACCAGGGTAGGGAAAATGCGACGACCTCCAAAGTCGCGCGCATATACTATCAGTCTCCCGATACTGCAGGTAGTACAACTACAAACGCAGAACTGGTCATCACGCCTACAGACAGCGACCCCAACGACATGCACTGGCTGTCAGTCACGAGTACCATCTGGTGCATGACACATTTCGAGCTGCTATCAATACAGAGCAGTAGCTCCGGGGGGAGGCGATAGTCGCGCCGTCAGTCTGAACAGAACCGACCACAGTCAGGTGCGCCACCAGCACAGGGACCGACTAATAGTTTTACACCAGGGCAAGACCAAGGTAACAACACAAGCAAACCTTTCGCGGCCAACCAACAGGCCCAGGTGAACACAGTCACACAGTATAATGAATTCCAAGGCATTCCAGAAGAAGGTGCAGTTCACATAGACGCAATTCTTACAGAGGAATATGGTGACGACACACCAGCCCCAGACCAGCTACACGATAGTTGGGAGCCGGTGCATGAGCAGGCATGAGATGTGAGGGTGTCTGAGTCAGATGTGAGTTTAATACTCGTTAGCACAATCAATACAGTGATGACCATACAGGTCCTATTGCTGACACTTGATAACCGTTTTTATATACAAGTACAAGTGAACGGGCGCACGTTCCGAGCTGCATCTCGAAGACATCCGCAGAACTTCTCGGCCGTCCAAATACTCCGGCACCACCTGGGTTATTTATTTTTTTAGCTGACAAGACGGTACGAACTCATCGACTGGGACGACAGAAGTACGATACGATACGGCACAGAGATCAGCAATAGGTCACTCGAGTTGCCGAATATCCCTACATCATTTAAAGCCTCCCAATTACAGGAAGGAATGCAACAAGCCACCGAACCACACCGGAAGGTAAACACTTCACATGGAAATGCAGCAAAGGGAGACCACAATAAAAGTTAGGAAGACAAATTCAAATTTTATTTATTTTATACAAGTTATTAGCAAATGCAAGGGGGTGAAGCGCACATTCGCACAGAAAATAGCATACGCCTTTACTAATAACCTGCAACACCCACACACCACCACAGGCGCCTCAAGATACCAACGGCAACCAGAGCAGGCGTGTATGGTGGTGAAGGAGGTGGTGTTGATGCGGATGGAGCACGGGACAGCCCAGCAGGGGGGGCAAGCCCAGGCAGTGGCTCAAGCCAGCCAACACCGAGGGGAGTACCCGTACAAGCTTCAGCAATGCGTTTAGAGATAGACAAGAGCATCTGTCAATGTAACCACGTCCTGGTTAGTAAGTTTGTATCCAAATTGGAACAAAGAGCACCGGTGATTATCCCAAGTCTACACAAGATGAGAGTATGCATTCGCTACCAACAGCCAGAACGATGCATGCCAATAGTAGATACAGAACTCGGAAGAAGATACGATTTAACCGTGTGGCGACGATGAGGAAGATAAACTCATTCAAATCAGTCAACTAATTATTGAGTTAGAACTTATGCGTTCACGCTTAGGCGAAAGATCAATGAACATGCACTTTCTAAACTACTAAAACCTCAGAATTTCCGAAGTTACCCAGAGACTGTTATTTCAAAATGGGAAATTGTGAAGATATTATAGAGTTTACTACGCAATGCAGAGACCTATTCTTAGCCAAGTCTGTGCCACGATGTCAGTACCCAGCGCTAGTGATATATCTATTAGACTTCACTGATGCAACGAAGAAGACCAAGGCAGTGCTCATCGAGTTACGAAACTCTGAAACACATATGACCAAGCACTACAAGGATCCTGAACAACACAATAGAACCATTATTGATAGACTCAGACACCATCCAGTAATCTATCTGTTAGAGAAGTTTCTCAACATGCGGAACAAGACACTGAACGTAGAGGTGCGCACAGAGCGATTGCATAGAACAATGCAAGTGTTAGAAGAGCGTCACCGCAACTCGAACATAGAGCCTATACACACGAAAATCCTCAAGGCCACAAGATACCAGGCATTTACGTACTACGAACAACAGGAGAAAGTGGATGCCATCATCAAAGCAGATAAACTGCCTGATGGAAGTGAAGGTCTCTTATCCGATATGAAACACACTGTGTTTCACTCTCTTACTGAAGCAAACGGAAGAGCAGCGCCAAGTATAGACAGATCGTTTGTATAGAGAGCGCAAGAGACAACTCGCAGGCAGTCACACACAGCCAGTCTCAGAACGGCAAACCCACCGCGACCAAACGTCACAAACCAGACAACGGTGCACTGAAACAAATCAAATCAATCGGACAACCCCAAGAGAAGAAAGGGGCTCGCGAAGATCGTGCATGTCCTTATTGTAAGGTGATGCCAGCCCCACAACGTTTCAGTCTATGTCCCATGAAGGCATCGTATCAGACCAAGCAGGCTGAGGAGCGTGTCAAAAACGATGTGCAAATAGCAAGATTGTCCAATACATCCGGCAAGGTAGAAGATATCACAGATGGCGATGAGCACTGAAAAAACTGGTGGGCCGAAGCAAACATGATTGACCTGGCTGACAGGCTCAATGTAAATACAGATGAAGAAACGCTGTTGATAAATGCATATGAAATAAATTACCAACCTTATCCTTACTTCCCGCACCACGAGACCAACGATTACACATTGGCATACAAATCAATGGCAACATATACAATGCATCAGTAGACTCTGATGCGCAACGCTCATGTATGGACACGAGTGTAGCAACTGAACTATATCTCTCTGTCAGAGCGCAGCCGGGCTACATTCAACTAGCACAAATATATGCAACAATACAAAGAACAGGGTCAATCCAAGTATATGACATTAATTATGGAGGAAGGAAAACCTCTAAGTGTTTTGAAGTGTTGGATTTGCCAGAAAAGAAAGCACCAATACTTCTCGGTATGGAGATTCTACCATACATAAGCATATACATAGCAGGATTAATCAATCTACTTATACTAGCAGATGCAAAATGGGAATCACTTCCCACGCCACATGAAGAAGATCCTGAGCATGAACAAGGAGGGTTCAGAGAGTCACTTGCAGACCTCTTGGATACCAATGCAAACATACCGCCTGGCATTTATTGCAACCTACCGGGCTCTACAGTCACAGGACCTTCAAAAATGACATTAATGTCACACAAATGAGGCACGTTAAAGTCAACTTTGTACCTCACAAGTATATTCCGCAAACGGATGAAAATGTACAAAGGTGGCTTACAGATGGTCACATATACAAACGAAATACACCGATATCGGTGAATCTACCTTTGTTATCGACAGGTGAACATGACTAAACAGGTCTCCTCAAGAAAGTAAGAACATGTTTAAACTTACGCGAGATCAATTACCAATATGAACAAGATAAATTCGTGCTGCCAAAAATAAAGGAAGTACTCCACAACCTACAAGGAGCACAATTCTTCTCAAAGTTAGATCTCGCGGGAGGGTTCCACCATTTCCTAGTAGAGCAAGAAAGCCAACACTTCTTCACATTCTCGTGGAAAGGAGCGCAATGCTCATTCAAGTCAGCGCCGTTTGGCCTACACTCACTCACAGCACAATTCCAGAGAGTCATGGCAGAATTGCTCATAGACATCAAAGGAGTGCAAGTGTATGTAAATGACATAGTCATTGCGAGTCTTACAGAGGAAGAACACCGCAAGACAGTTCGTGAAGTAATCAAGCGACTAAATGGAGCAAACTTCCGACTCAATCACAACAAATGTGCCTTCGCGGTCAAAATGGTCAACATTCTAGGTATGTAAGTCACCACACAGAGACTCAAAGCGGATCCTGAAAAACAGAAAAGGATGCTGGACTGGCCACTACCCAGAATGAAAGGAGATCTGCACAAAGCGGTGGGACTCACAAACTATATGCGTTGCCCACTCAACTAAACACTACCGGATCCTAATGAAAAGGAAAATAAACCAGAACATATCCATGTTATTGACTCCGGACCTCAAAGAGAAGTGGGAAGAACTCAAAGAAGCCATCGCGTGTTCGGCGACGCTAGCATACCCTGTTGATGGGGTACCGTTTCAAACATGAACGATGCTAGTGACTATGGTATAGGAGGATGTTTATTTCAAGTCATCGATTGAGTCAGGAGAGACATTCTCTACTTTTCCAAAAGCTTGAATCCAGCACAACAACGCTATGGCACAAACACTAAAGAACTAATAGCACTAGTATACTGCCGAATACATCAAAGGAGGGGTCATAACACTGTGGACAGATCATAAAGCGCTCACGCAAATGAACAGTCAACAGACGTTACATCCAATGCTAGCCAAATGGATAGCACAAACATTATACCACCACTTCTCCATCATACATGTTCCGGGTAAAAACAGCCAGATGGCATATATGTCGTCGCGTCTACACGAAGACACATTTAATACTAAAACGTCAGAGATACTACAAGACGCGAACAAAACAACACATAATAGCCAAGAGTACACCACCTTGGAATCCAAAATGCCCATTACCATATCCGCTATAGACTGGATGATACACCCCAGATTCTACAAAGAAGCTGAAAGAAGGTTTGGGAAATTTTCAGTAGATCTGTTTGCATCGGCACACAATGCACACACAGAAAAATACTATACCAAAGAACAGAATGCGCTCCTACAGAAGTGGGCGCAGGAAGTGAATGAATGGGCGAACCCACCATGGTAACTCATACCTGATGTCCTTGACAGAGTCATTGAAGAGGCAAGCAGCATCGCGATATGTGTACCATACTACCCCAATGCAACGTGGTTTCCAAAATTCTTGTCTTTACTAGAAGAAGACCCGATGCTAGTGGAAAACACAAACAATACGTACTTCAAATAGGATACACAAAAGGGATCTCATCCCTTACAATCAATCAAAGTCGCATTTCCCGGCGACAGAGTCCAAGTGAACATCATTGGGCTACTACTGGACTCAAACAGAGAACACACGTATGTATTAGTATGGCTAGATGTGCACTCATCATATGTCATACTACACCCAATATGGACAAATCAGCGGCTACTATAGCACGTACGCTGGTACCAAACATGTGCGAACATGGGTTCCCACAAATAGTTATGTTAATGACAGATTTTCAAAAGTCCTTGAACAAGTGTCAACACAACACTTAGTCTCTCGGCCGTACCAACCTAAAGCACCTCGTACCACCGTTACGTAAATTCGTTGAACAAAATTTAGATGACTGGTGTTCACGATTTCCCTTCGTACAGATGGGCCACAATCTACGCACATTAAGAAGACACAAATCACCGAGATTTAATGTGTACTTTGGTCGCAGACAGAATCAACTCACGGTCTACAACACACCAGTGAACGCACCCAGTTACAACAAAATCTTAGGAAGAGCGATTGCACCATATAGAAGAAGCCATTATGCCACAACTAGACAGCAATGCTGCGCAATACCAAGAGAAGATGCGCACAGCATACAACCGAAAATACCAAAGAAGTACATACACTTCTAGGAAAGGGACACTGTCATGGTCCGCTATCAAGGTGAAATGAACAAGATGACAGCACCATATGGCGGACAGTACAAAATAGTATGTAGAGAGGGCAACGGGTATTTTGTCTGTAACCTTGATGGGACTACAGCCCCCGAATATCCTAAATCGGTCAGTGATGAGCTAATTGGACTCATAAAAAAGGCCAACGCTCCGGAAGCATTCACTTCCAACAATCACGTACCCCCAACCGAGGAGACTCAGGTCCCCTCGATAGTCGACCACAGGTCGTCCATCCGAGGTGATGGATCCCAGGAGTACCTACTGCATTGGACAGATGGAGAGCGTACCTGGACGAATAACGAATGAGACATGGGCGCAACGACTTGATCGTCTCTACCCACGCTATATAGATTGACGATGAAATACACGGACACTCTGGCGAAGAATTTCAATCGTCTCCATGCGTACGACTTAGTACACTTCGAGAAGGACGATGTGGTCATGGTCAAATCGGAGGGCCGTACATCCAAGGCAATGCGCCCCTTATTCAAACCTTATGTAGTAAAAGGCTGTACTGGCCAGGGGTACGATCTGTCGCGTAGGGATGGTTCCGCCCGACCGGAGTTTAAAGGTCGCTTTAGTCCACTGTAGCACAGATCCACCCCTCGATGAGAGTTTATGACGCGACGGCGGATCGGCGTTCCGACACATCATTAAGCATCACGCTAATGATGAAGTGGGAAAAACGGAGTACCTCGTATGGTGGCGAGAAGGAGACCCGCCCTGAGAGACAGAAGAATCGTTCGAAGATACCAATGGCATCGTCGCGTACCATAAGGATATGCAAACACGTTCACGCAAGCGCCGGCGTGATGCGGCTTAAAATTTTACAGATACATATTTATTGTCATTTTGCTTCTGCTTTACAGGCCTCGCTCGTGTGGTTGTCCATAACCGAGCCCTCTAGCTCTCTAAATTTAGAAGTCAACCACTGCTCTAACTCTCTGAGTGTAAATGCCAGTGGATCCCTCTTGTTCGTGGAGGCTAAACTAGCGTCCTATGGGTAGTGAATAGATTTTCGTTCTTGAAAGCTGGCACACGGTACGTGCTTCAGCGTTAGGGGGGGGGGGGGGGGGGGTGGTCAGATATACTCAATAGGGTTTATTTAAGGTTATTTGAGGTTTATTTTGGACACGACATAAACCCAGGTTTAGGGTTTATGGTTATAGAAATATCCGCTTCGAGGGGAGTACGTTGAGATACTGTTATCTCTGTGTATTTGACAACATATAAATGCGTAGCGTGGCATGATGCGCTAGATGGTTTTTTAAACTCAGAATCTATTTAATTGTCACCCAGCCAATGGTACACATAACTACACTTATACATTTGAATAGACTTATTCATGCATAGATGGCAGTAGAGCCTCACTGCCCTGGAAGACTCTGGGATGACTAGCTGACTGATCGAAAACCTAATAGCTGAATGGCTGACTGACTGACTATACTGGCTATCGGCACCAACAAAGCGCCAAGTATATAGAAAAGAGGAGAAGAAGAAACCAGATAACGAAGAGAACAATTACAAAAATTGTAGTAAATCAATTGAATGACTGAACCAAACAACGTAGTACGAACAAACTTGGTTACACCTCGCAAAGTCTTCATGGCCGGCTGAAATACGGACACTGACAATTTACTGTCACTAATACTGAGCATTCACCTCCTGGCGCAGCAGTTATCTCAACAAAATCGAGGCTCCATTTTGCTGAGATTAAGGCCGTACGTTCTGGTTATTGCAGGAGGGCCGAGGTCTCCGGTGGGGGACGATCCCATCACTGACAGGGTTCACAAACCCGGCTAATCAAATCATGCAAATTTGTGTTCTCAGACCCCCCACCCAAGCATATCGTACACTAAGTAGTATCAAAAACGGGTCTGGGAAGAAGGCGTGCACGTACTGAAGTGCCCGGACAACTTGCTTGCCAGTCAGCATCACGCCCCATAATGCGCGCGGAAGACGTGCCAAAGGTCAACCGGACGAGGGACGCAATAGGACCTTTCCGAAATACGGACAGAATGGAGGGCTAACTGGTGGGAGAATGAACAGAAACACCTTCACCTATGACCGGAGAATGCAGCGAACCTCCACCAGGGACCGGGACTGCAGCATCCGAGCTAAGATAGCATCCGGCATGTCATCGACCATAGCAGTGCCTAGCGCCAAACTAGGTGAACACACTTGTCGCCGTGGTTTACCAGCGAGAAAGACGAATTCGGCTTTCTAGAGAGATCTATCTAGTACCGGTACAAATGTAGGTGGTGGTGGTGTATGTACCGCAATGAAAGAAATCGCAGAGTGGCGTTGACCCAGGTGATACCATAGGCTGGGTAAGCACCAGTGGATCCTCTCTAGTTGGGGTTACCTGAGCAAATGCATCCCACTGGAGCTGACATAGAATAGCCAAGGGCCAGGATGACACACTAGAGTCACAAATGATGGTGATCCTTCAGGAGCCCGATCATAGCGATTGAAGACGCCCGCTGCGCGAGTAATCACCAAGGGTTTCATCAGCCGGCAAGTCACACAGCATAAGCAACCATTCTGTATCCGGCCAACAAGGACGTACAAGGGTGCAGCATGCTCGCTCTGCATGTGCCTTTAAATCTACTGCAGAGAGGAGAGTCCACGGTGAATTAAATCCCCAAATCACCATTGTATCTCCCCGAACGTTAATAAAGGGTATATGTAAAATGTACCCCATTCGACGACCACGTACATCATCCCCAAACGAGCTCCGCGGTTAGCTCAGAAGCGCAAGAAGGGGCTGGTGATCAGTGAACACCTTAATCGGTAGTAGCGAGCGGCGCAAGATGCGTATATTATTTTGCGAAACCCATTTACGTGGGCTAATGCCTCCTTATCAGTTATGTGGTATATCCGTTGGGCCTGGTCGAATGAGAACAAAAGGATGTGATAGGAAGATACTTCCCATCTCTATGAACGACGAGCACAACTCCCACACCTACGTCTTTACATGTGTCTACAAACATAATTATATGTTCTGCGGGGCTGGCTCCACAAGTCCTGTGCAGTCTCAAAGTAATTACTTAATGTGCTGGAATGTATTGCTCTGCGGGACACCCTAGTGGAATATGCTATCATCCTTAAGTAACAACAATATACGGATTTGGTAGTGGGTTCAGTCAGCGAAAGGAGTGCCTGGAGCCGTTCCGGGTTGATGCTAAACCCTTCATAACTCACAAGATGCCCGATGATCACCACAGGGTGTTTAAACACTGCGAACGGGCACTTGCTGAACGTTATTTCTATATGTAGGAATGTATGAAGATACGCTTAGTCCTATGCTTAGAACTTAGTCAATTTTGGGCCAGTATTCGGGCAAAGTGTGGGATACATTCTGCCCAGCGTCCCACAGTATGGTATCATAATTTCGATTTAGTTGTGGGTTCAGTCAGTGAAAGGAGTACCTGGAGCCGTTCTGGGTTGATGCTAAACCCTTCATAACTCACAAG